ACACACTTCTTCAGCAACAGCCCAGGCATTTTTTCCATGACTTTACTGCTGTGCGCGTCTAGCTCTGACGTTGAAAGAGACTTAACTTCCTCTTCAGAAAGTCCATGTAAAGTCTCGTATATCTGCCATTTAAAACTGCCTCCATCACAGACAGCATCATCTACACATGCATTGAGCCGCTCTACTTCATTTTGTCCGAGTCTCTCTCTTGCCTGGTGAATTCTCAAGACCTTTTAATTGCCATACACTCTTGCTCTCTCTAGAATTCGTATTCTGGACTCTGCACTGGACACGCCTACACCTGGACCAGCATCAGTTAGCTCTAGTAAGCGTGGATACACAGGTGGCAGTCTGACGCAGGGGATTCTTCTCAAGACCTCATCACACTGTTCGAGTACGGGAATCAGTACCCTCTGCAACTGTTCACCAGTTACATGTTTCATATCCGTTTCTGCCTTACTGATACAATCTAGGAGGGAATTAGCAACATAGACTATGTTGTCTCCAATCTCCTTCTCAGAGCCTACAATGTCCTGATTTTCTTCCCAACGTTCCCTTGCACTTGTAAGCTGGTACTGTAAAAAGTGCAAGCGTAACTGTTCGTATTCCCTGTAAGGGCATTTGTAAGCCCCGGTCACAGACAGAATATCAATCTCTGTTGTTGAATCCTCCTAATAGAACGTACAGTCATGCATTCGACCACATAAGCCACGAAGTTCCTCCGAGTATTTCCGGTATCTGTGCAGCTCCTCCGGTTCGTGAATACCTGGCTTCTCTCACCTAAGACGCATGCTGTTAGATGCCCAGGTTGATGCATGAGTAGGCACGTAAGCTTTAGGTTCAACAACCACAATACTGTCATCCGTTTTGGTGACCAGTGTAACCTCCTCTTCAACCACTTCTGCCTCTTTGCGGATAAACCTACACGCAGATGGGGTAACGTACACTGATGCCTCGGGAAAATCATGTACAGGCAAGGATCTAGCTCTGGTCTCATCTGACGGCTGCAGAATAGTTTGCTTCCGGGCTCCTTTAGCTCCCTCGGATGTTTCCAGACGCAAGTATGCCTTATCATCCATGTTGATACAAAGGCTCCCATTGGCATTTCCGCCGGAAAAAAACTCTTCCTTAGCCAGCTGCACTTTTTTTCTCTGATGGTGAGTGCACTCATTTCCACGATCTTCAGTCTTGGTGGATTTTTGCTACACTATAATCCTTTGCCTAGGTGACGCTTCGCTTGCCTTGACCTCTTATCAGTTGCCCTGGCCCTGGTGGTAATGCTTGAAACTGACTTCAAAAGTCTCTTCCCTTGCTTCAATCGACGGTAATTGGCAATATTTAGAAGATCTCTGCATTTCACTTTGTGATGCGTATATAGAACAGATTCATGCCTTCTTCCGTGAATGGTCGCTTTGTCTTCAATGCACTTCACTAGCCATTCTTCATCTTCTGAGGCAAGTTCTTGTTTCTGTGCTCCCAACAGAGTCAGAGGAGTAGCGGGCATCCTTTTTAGAATGGCGAGTCGGAAAACAGCCACAATAGCCACAAGTTGCTCCATCTGACCTCATGAAATCCTCGCATTCTCCACAAGCGCATTTCCCTCATTCTTTCTCTCACATATCCTTGCCCATTTTCAAGTTTTCACCGTGCAACGCCACGCAATTAACTGCTTTGTGCGCAGACTAGGCTATGTGAGCAACACTTCCGGTCAGTTATTTTCACTTTCGATTATTTTTGTCTTGGAGGAAGTGGGGGAAGGGTCAGATCCTTTTGTTTAGGCATTTGTGAAGGGTCATTCATTAATCCAATCTGGAAAGTGGGAGTGCCACGACTTTTTTGGCAAAAAATTTCTAAAATATCCCGGCCCACCCCCTCCCCCTAATAAAAAACGTACCTTCCCTAACGGAAAAGACATTTACTACATTTTTGATTACTAGAGATTTTATGAAACAAGTAGAGAAAACAATAAACATCTTTAAAACATGACTTTTTTCCCCGCGTGAAAACAAATGTACCACCGACTACATGCGATTTTTTTCAAATAGACATATTGGCTGAGCGAAGGACTAACGTTCGAAACTCTTCGCTCTGACGAAGGGCTAACGTTTGAAAGGTCAGCTGTATTACAAACTCTATGAAGGCCAAGTTACATTATCAACTCAGC